ATGCTAGCTCTAGGGCATTCTTGATCTTCGAAACAATGTCAAATGCATCACCGGAGAGGGAGAGGTTAAGGTCAGCATCACGCTCTGTATGAGGGTTATAGGCACTTGAGGAGATAAAGATAGAAGCGTCACAACCATCTGTGATGCAATCATGGAAGAACATTCGGAGGAGGCCCGGTGCGGTGGCCGGAACAACACTTTGCTTGATATACACGTTTTCTCTTACAATTTTTTCAAAGTCAGGGCATGTTGCTTTGTAGTAATCAAGGGTTAGTTTGGCTGAAGAGAAAGGAAGGGTAAGGAATAAGAGGAAGAGAATACGGTAATAAGCCATGGTGGGTAGAGGGAGGAAGGGAGAGATTCTTCAAGATTAGTCTTTTTTTCTTCCTCTCTCTTTTGGTTGTTTGCAAGAGAGAATGTGAACCCTTTTTGGGAAGGACAAAGGGATGAAAATGTTCTAAGTTTGGGAACAATGTGAGGAGGGAGAAAAGGTGGTGGAAGATGTGGATGAGAGAGGTTTGTGGAGATTTTCTGTTAACTTTTTGTGACTCTAAATTTCAATTGAATTGGTTGGTTTTATTAGTTTGCTATTTTTGCTTGCTCAATCAACTTGGTTTTTTGTTTGGATTACAGTGAAATTGGAGATTGAAATTATGAAAGGAAACATTATTGTGTTATATGAAGAATGAGTCATCTTTGCTAGAGCAATAATCTCTTAGGTTATTATTTGAATGTGAATCAACTATTCCAAAATTGTTATTCATTAAAAAAATCAAACAGTAAGAAACAAAGTTAAAATTATACATTATTTTTTATTATGTGTCAAAATTTGATGGAATAAAACATGGTTAAAGATACAATTTGGAAATAATTAATCTTCATTCTATATAATTATGGAGTATAACTCTTAATACATATTTCAAGCTTTATATTAATTCTTCCCCACTCCTTTATCTTATCCTCATAAAATAAAATGTACCATATTAAAAGTTAAAATGATATTTTATGAGTCGTTTACATTGCCTCATTATGCTTATGTTTGTTATTGTGAATAGTGGTTATAGAGGTGTCAAAATGGGCTACCCGGATGAGTTCGGGCTAGCCTACATCGGGTTTGGGTCGGGCCGGACTAAAAAGTCTGTATATAAATTATGCATAGAAAATTGTAACTCAAGCCCGACCTAAGCGGGCTAAGGGTTGTGGCGGGCCAGCCCGTATAATACTAAAATAAAATTATTTAAATTTTAACTTTTTAATACATTTGTTATGTCAAATGCAACCAAACTTATAAATATAATCTCTTGTGTTTGAGTTAAGACGTGATGTCAAGTTCACGTATATAAATTTTAATAGAACTCATTTATTAAATCTCTCATTTCTATTGAACTTTCACTCTCTAACAAAATATAATTTGTATTTTGTTATTATGCTCTTTTGTTAATTATTGTATGTTTTGGGATGTCATAGATATATGGATTTACGAGATCTTTTATGTGATCTTAAAAAATAGTTTGTCGGATATTATCAAACAAAAGGAACAATGTCTTCGGTATCAAATTATTTTACATAAGGTGGTGGGAAGTGAGTCTCATTTCGCCTATTTAATTGTCTCGGGAATTGTTTAAATATTTGTTGGACTACTCGTCTCATTGGCAATTGATTTTGAGATAAAATCTTAACATGCATGGTATTAGAGCCAATATCCAACTTTTTTATGGTTATTATGGGTCAAAAGATGTCATTTAGTTAAGAGTCAAAATTAAAATTTCGTCTGATCCGACAGACTTATGTGGAGGGGGCATGTTAGAAAGTAAGTCTCACGTCGCCTACCTCCTTTTCTCGATAATTGTTTAAATACTTGTTGGACTACTTATCTTATTGCCAATTAATTTTGAAATAGAACCTTAACATAAGGAAACTCATATTTAGTGATCATACTATAAAAGGACCAATCTTGTGTAATATAGTGAATATTACTACTTTGAAGGTTTTATTTATAAAGCATTATAAAGGAAATAAATTACAACTTTTGGCAATATTCCAGCCATTATTTTTAATTGTGATTAAGGATGAAGACATATCAAACCATCTAAGAGAGACCTATTATTTGACCTACAACAAGTTAGACTATACTTTCTTCATTAATAGGCCAGACTCAAGTTTTTTAAAAAAAAATTAGCTTAACAAGTCATGTTTTAGGCCATCTATAGACTTATTAAATCTAACATGTCAACCTATTTAATTATATAACAATATTCATATTTAACTCTTTTAATATAAGAAATATTATTATATATGTAATTTTAATATAAAAATATAATTTAATTATTAGGGTTAGATAAACTTAGTTAAAAATAGACCTATTAACCTATTTAAATATAGCCTATTTAAATATAGATATGTTGACCTATTTAAAAACCTTATAGTATAATATCTAACATGCTAGACTTAGATTAATTTGAATTTTTTAAATAAGTAAATATGTTAAACTCAGATTCTTATATGCTATATAAGATTGGTTTAAGATAAAGTCTAACAAAATGAAATTTAAAATAAAGAAAATATATATGCATCGACATTGTTTGAGATTTATACATTGTCACTCGGAGATGGAGTCTTCATGCATCCGGAAATTATGTGCTTAAATGAGCTTATCTCATTCAAGTGGATCCAAGTATCCTGCCTATAGGTAACACTTTACTTAAGTCTTTGATTAATTGTGTTCTTTCAAAAAAATTGTTGTTCTGTCTTAAAATTTCTTAGACATAGAATTCCTACAAAAAAAAAATATGTGACTAATTAACCAACCAACAAAACTACTTATTAAAAATAACAATTTGTTGTTCCATTGAAACATATAAGTAGTTCCTAATCCTAATAATATTAAACTTGGTAAAAAAGGATTTAATAACTGAAAAATTAGAACTTTTCAAAAGGCAAGTTATTCTTAGGTATGAGAAACTGAAGTGTGTTTTTTGCAACAATCATGATGAGTCAATTGACCATCTTTTTTTATCTTGTGAGTTTGCAAATTCTGTTTGGAAAGGCGTGTATCAGTAGCTTCAAGTTGATGAGTTGAAACCTACAAAAATCAGTGAGTCTTTCAACATGCATGAAGATCTTATTTAGGGATGGCAATGAGTTTGGATGGGTTGAGCTAGTGCATTACCTAGATCTGACTCATTGCTTTATTTTTGGACTCAGACCTGCCCTAGACTCATGCTAATACCCACTGGGTATGCTACCTACAAGTCCTTGGGTACCCAACGGATCCATGGGTACCCATAAATTCAAAAATATTAAAAATAATTGCAAATAATTTATGCATTTATGTATTTGTTTCATACGATCTTATATGTTATTTAGACAATTAGTAAGAGCAAAAATTATAAAACTTAATTTAAAGTTTTAAAAACAACGTAAATTGACTATTAAACACAATTCATTTTACTCAAACAAACATTAAAAACAACTTCAATATTAGAATGAAAAGTTCATTTAGTATGAACTCTTCGATTAACATAACATCACATTATACATATGAATCAACAACATAATATCATTACTTAACAACATAACATCACATTTATGAATTAATATGATATTATAATTATGGATTAATATGATATGATAATATACATGATATTACAATTAGGTTGTTATATATATAGGAAGAAATAGCGGGTCCGAGTACCTTATTACCCAGACCCATCTAACAGAGGGTCTTAAAATTGTCGGGTCTCAATTACCTACGGGTCCAAAACATGGACCCAGCCCCGACCCGTTGCGAATATTTTTTGCAGGTACCCGCGGATCCGAGTACCCATTGTCATCCTTACTCTTATTCTTAGTAGTGTAAGAATTTTTGAAATTTATTCATATGTTAATCATCAATGACTCATAAATAAAAGTAATACAAATTAACGGGGAATTTACTTGGACTTGACATTCTAGAAATTATTTTTTATTCAATAATTGTTTTTTCTAGACACATATTTCACCAAGTTAATACATGATTGACACACATCAAAGAGATAAGGATATACCCAGTCAAATCGATCGAATCACTTTCTAGTTCGTCGAATCACTTTCTAGAGGTGTTCCCCATTCAAAAAAATCACACTAGATGAAACGCATTTTTCAACTTATTTCTTTTTAAAACATTTTTTTCTCTCTTCTCTCTTTCTTTCTATGGTATAATATAGAGTAATTTTTAAACTATATTCAACAATTGACATCAATAGTCATATTATGAGTAATTTGAGGATTAATACCGATAACTAGTGGCTTCCCAAAAGTAAATTAATGTTTGATTATTAGGTAACTAAACATATTCTTCTCATTTCACTATGCAAAACTAATTTTCCAACAAATATTATCTATACATGCGTTGAAAAACTCATTTTGTCGACCATCTCTTCTAGAAGCATAGCATGTTTATGGAAATCGTGATTAGAAGACCAATAGTTCACCTCATTTTCTCTTTTCAAACATTAAAAATTAAAATGAAATGTAACCAAACACTAAACCATCTAAACCCACCTACAATGATGTGATTTGATAAAATGTTCAATGATGTTTTAAGTATATAGACCAATAAATGTTTAAAACTCAAATAAGGAAATTGTTTAACTATTATTCATACCAAATAAAATTACTGTAAATAAATCTTACCAAATACAAAGTTTGTGGCCGCTAACTTGGAAATTAAAACTTTTGTTAAATTCTCAACGGCTTCTAAAAGTTTATTTCCTTATTTGTGACCCATTTTTAGAAAATAAATTCCATTAATAACAAACTATAAGGGGTAGGATCTAACACATGAATCATATGAAGATGCTACGTGAAGCTAACTCTAGATTGTCTACTATATTAAAGCAAACAATACATGAATAAGAAAAATGCAATCCCACTCTAACTCTTTCAAAAATGAGGAAAACCAATTCCATGATCTACATTTGATCAAATCCAAAGTACATTACAAATTAAATTCCTCATGTTATCTTATCTCGAACAATCCATATTGAATATAATACAAAAAACCATAAAATAAGGCTGTTTCATATTGATAAACGTAGCTCTCATGTGAAGTCATTTCACTTGTTCAATCCAAATGCTAAGAGTCACCTCCTGAAATGAATATATATATATTTTACATATAACATGCTATAAAACATGTCTAAGAATTAATATACACACACGAAATTAGAAACAAAACTTACCTCTATTACGCTTGGATGCTAGATACATCCTTAAAGTCAAATCCACTGGAAATCCCAATTGCTCATACATTGGATCATAAAGTGAATTTTGTAAAGCCCTAAATTGATGCCAATTTCATTTTGTATATTGGAGAGAAAGTAATAGGTAGGGTTAGTAAATGTATAACCCTTATAACATTGAAATCATCAAAATGTGTTTATGTTATTGTAATTAAATATCACACTATATATATATATATACCTTGGTGGTGGGATAGGGTTTTCATTTCCTTGAGGAGGTGGGTTTTGAAAGCTTCCAAACTGAGTTGATGCCAATTGTTGGTCGTTGTTTTGAAAAACAGGTGGATTACCAATCTGAATTGGTGTCAATTGTTGGTCATTACCATGAAAATGATGTTGATTACCAACCTCAATTGATGCTAATTGTTGGTTGTTGTTTGAGAAAGTATGCTGATTACCAATGTGGATTGTCCCGATGTTGTCCGGTAAAGTCATTTTCATCTATGTTCGAACAAATTCATGGTAAAAAGTTATTATACTTAAATTTAAGAATACAAAAATGGATATAGACATAATTGTCATCACGAAATACGTACCCTAACATTCCTTGATGATGATTGTTGGCCATTGTTGGACAAAGTAGATGGATTAGCAACCTGATTCGATGTCAATTGTTGGTTGTTTGGTTGCAAGGGAAGTGGATTACCGATCCGAATTGGTGCCAAAATTTTGTCATTGTTTGGTGGATTACCAACTTGATTTGCTGACATTTGTTGAATGTTGTCTAACATAGTAGGTGGATTATCAACCTTCAATTGTTGAACATTGTTAGGCAAATTCATTTTCATCTATGTTCAAAAAAGTCAATGGTGCAAAGATATTACACTTAATTTGAAGAATATAATACAAGATCACTATGAAATGATTGTCACCAAATACATACCATGGTGTTCCTTGATGATGATGACGACCCTCCGATTTTAAGCTTGTTAGGAGTAGGTTTAGTGCCCAAGAATCTTTGCTATAGGGTATAAGAGATTGATTTAGGGTTTAAAAAAAGAATAAAGCAAGTAAGTAACTACTAATATGTTTTTATAATTATATGTGTGTGTGTTTAGAATAAATTAGGTTTCCCTTATGTTTTATGTTTATTCATAACTTTCATATAAAATCGTAAACATAAATCTGTACATTTATAAGATACAATATGTGTAACTAAATGTCAAGTGTTTGATAATCAATCCATTATTTTAAGAATATTTTGGTGTCAGATATCATTTTTGTCCTTACCTTATTTAATCATATTTTTAGTTGAGAAAAACATATTAATTTCATTCGAGGCTTCAATTCAAATCATTAGGGTTTCTAAACGATGCTTCCATTTATTATAAAAAATAAAATGTTCTTATATTTGTACGAAGAAAATGATCTTACACTCCTTTAAGATGTAAGAAGATTCAACAATAAGACCAAAATTTGATTTTAAGACAACAACTAAAATTTATAGCTGGTTGGAATACTTTTAATTTATATAATTTTTTATTATAGCAAAATCATTTTTTTATAAATCTTTAATAACTCAAGTATGCGTAACTACATAAAATATTAATGAATTCAAATTAACTTGCTATTTTCCATAGTTGAGCACCCTCAACTTGGTTTGAATATAGGCTATGAAAATCATGATGCTGAATGTAGTGAAACTTTTATAACTTTGACAAAAGAAAAGAAAAAAGTAGAGTCATACCTGTTCAGTGTTTGGGACTTGATTTTGAGTATTGTTTGGCATTGCAAGAGGATAAAAACTGCTTAACAATTGGGACTGTGTCTTATCCTTAGCCACCCTTTTCCTAAGCATATATAATGAACAATTAATAAGGATTAACTTCAATATAAAAACCCTACCTTATAGATAACATTTATTAGTTAATATGGATCCATGGATACTGTTGGAAATATAAATTCTGAATAAATTAAAATGAAGGCTCATTTTTATTACCCCTGTCCAGATTTGGGCTGCTGAAAATTGTGATTTTCAGCCAATGGTGTCTGTGTCTGTGTCTGTGTTCTTGGAAAGGAAGATGATGATGCACTAATTGCTGCACCATGGGGATTCTAATCACAAACAATGATAGATTGAAATGTTAGAGATATTTAATAGTCATTCTTGATATTTCACATAACACTTTGTAATAAATTTGAGTTGGTTCTTCATATAATGGTGAAGATTTTATGACCAAGGCTTGTAACTACATTCTTTTAATAAAAATGTTGAAACTAAAGTATGAAGTAAATTTAAGAATGTTTGTCATCACTTTAAGCCTATAAAATATCTTAGCTAGGTGAGGGGATACAATAGAGATATAAACTTCACTAAATAAACTTTTAGGATTGAGATATTTTGATGAGAAATAAATAAGGTTATTATCGGATGAGCCACTAACTATTGGGAAGTTTCATTGTCTACTGGACATAGGATGAGTGAATAGGCACAATTGAGACATCACGTCTTCAACCAAAACCTTGAGACAATAGTTTCATGGGCCTTTTATTTCCACTTATGAACTCTTACCCATCCTCTAATATTCAATATGAGACTTCATAATTGAATAAATCCATCAATTTGCCTCTCAAGTGTGGGTACCACACTTATCGGTTTGCTCTCTTTAAGTTCATCATGTCTCAGTCGAACCATCGACTCTTATATCACTTGTTGGACCCGACCATGACTAGGGAGTTTCATCGTTACTTGAGAAAAATAGATAGTTACGACTGAGACATCACATCTTGAACCAAAACCTCAATGCAATGATTCCATTGGCTTTTTCCACTTATAAATTCTCTCATTCGTCCTCTCAGATCGAATGTGTCACTTCCCACTTAAATAAACTTAACAAAGTAGTTTTAATCGTAAATTCGGTATATGCTATAACTAAGCTTAGACAATGATTTATTTCATACTTGTGAATATCCTTGTTGCATTGTGGGTGGTTGAAGAGTTTGAGGTGGCTGGAATATCAGCTCCGATGTAGAGTTTGACATTGGCTGATGGTAACTACCATTTCCAAAGCCATTATTAATAGTTCCTTGAGAAGGGGGCAAAGCAACATCAAATAACTCTTCAAAGTTTCCTTCTATCTCCATACCCCTGAACCTGAATTTATTTACATTATTATTATACATAATCATAAAGATACTATTACTATATCTTCATTGTTCTTGCAGAATAAATTTATATAGATACATTTTGCATGAAATTAACATTTCAATCTTATAAACTTGTAAAAATTTTAAAGAATCTATAACTTACTGATCCATATGTTGAAGATCCTGGAATGAACTCAATTCCGGTCTAGAAACTGGTGCTTGGAAAGGTTTCTCTAATTCCCCCTGCATGTTTTAATTGAAAATAGATATAAATTAGAATGTAAATTATAATAATTTTCATTTCTATCATGGTATCTATATCTAGGTCTGCATGTATATATAGCTGATAAAAATGGAAGAATCATACACCAAATGAAGGGACAATCTGTGATAATGGTCCTGTTGAAGGTCCTTGCTGTTGTTGTTGTTGGTGGTGATGTAAAGGGCTATTAACAACCACAAATTCCATGAATCAGTTACAGATAATTAATATAAATTATGTTTAGTCTTGAAGCTATAAAAGTGTTAAGCTGAACACAAATTATTAAGTGAGATCAATACCTTATATCACTTGATGAACTAGGGTTAAAATAATTGAAGATTGCATCCTCTAGGACAAAATTATCAGTTTCTAAACATTGTGGGAAGATTGAAATATCAGTTGTTGTCTCTTGTCCCACCTGCAGCTCCATAAAAAAAAAGTTAATTATATATGTGCATATTTTAAATATGAACGATGCATACTTGAAAATGGATGAGTTTGACGCAATCTTAAGGTTGTTGCTTAGTAATTATGAGATTATGAGTTCAAATACTGAAAAATAGTTATTTTACTTATAAGGTAAGGTTATGTACATATATTTTCCTCATACCATATTCAGTGGAAACCTAGTACACTAAATCATCATTTATATTTTATATATGAATGATGCATACTTAATAATATATGAATGATGCATACTTAATACATCCAATTTTCAGTTTAGTCGTGTCATCAAACCGAAGTTTCTTCCTTGCAATTGAGGATACAGGTGAAAACATATAGTAGAATAAGAGACACACAAAAAAAAAACCTTGGTGTACCATTAATAGTGTATAGCAAGTTTATGATAGTAAAGATTGGTCTTATTCGAATATGAATCAATCAAACTAAATTTATTTCATAGGAAAAATCATTGTAAATGATAAGTTAATAAATACCTAAACAATAATTAACAAGAAGAGCTGACCCAAAAAAAATAATTAACAAGAAGAACAAAAACTATAGATATAATCAAATAAAATGAACTAATTAAATCATAAATAAGATAATGACTTGTTAATCCAAATATATCTAACACACTCTTTTGAGCTAAAGCTTACCAATAATAAAACTTGTTACAAATAATTCTTTTCAAAATGAAAATAACCACATAATTATATGGACTCTATGAAAACATCAATGAAAGGTGTTGTGAACTGCAAACTCTACACATATAACTAACATCGGAAATCATCATCGATGTGAAATGAAGGTATTGCTAATATAATTTATTAATGAGATGGAAGATATTAGAAAAATGATTGTCGGTGGAAAAAAAAACTTGTATGACTAATATCAGAATAATCGTTGATAGAAAAATAAGTAATTACTAACATAGTTCGTCAATGAAAGAAAAGTCACAATCGAAATGAACATCAATGAGAATATAATATAATTGTATAATCATCATTGAAATGATCATCAATGGGAAAAGAAGTCACTATTAACCTAATTAGTTAACGTGAGATAATAAATATATATATATATATATATATATATATATATATATATATATATATATATAATAGAGAAGTTAATAAAGATTCAAACCAAAATTTCTGAAAAGATCTTAATATATTAACAATCAAAATAAATCATTCACCAAAGGTTTTCGAACCCAACCAAATATAAAGCAAGGCAATACCTCACGCACATTACTTCCTTCGTTTGACATGATGAACTCCGAAAGCAGCTGAAAATTAAAAATATAAAATTGTAATTAAAATACTTCCACTCCAAAATATCAATTTTTTACTAAGTATACATAAAATTAATTTCAAAGCAATAAATTTGTGCTTTAAACATTAAACCTAAAAGTTTGACTTTGCACACTGATTCGTTCCATGATATTTAGAAGAACATTTAT